AACAACAAGAATTCATTTCATTGATTCCAACATTTCATCAGATTTGTGATAGCGATTTTGTTGATCCACGTTGGCCAATGGGTATTCAAAATACGATGCAATTATTTGATTATATTTACAATCGAGATTTTCGAATGCGTGGTTACTCTTTATTCCAAGCGCTTGTTTCTATTTGTGCTCTGGCTAAAGTCAGCATTGATAATGCTCTTATTGATTTCAAATCGACTACATTCATTTCAAAAAATTTGCTATCTGAGAAAACATTCGCTGCACAAATGAATGCCAGTATTGATTTGTATACTACCTCTCTAGCGTACACTTTTAGTCGTTCATTCGGAATCATACGTGATACAACACAAGGCAATGGTCTTGTTTCAGGAACTCTGTCAAGTATCACCTTTCGTCTGACAGCTATAAATAATACGAATACTAATCAATCTATTGGAACAATCAATCCTCGCTATAAAACGTATGATAACGATAGATGTTCATGTCATGATTCAGCCACTTGCAAAGAACAAGCATATGTTTATACTCCTGATAATACTAAGGTTCGAGTATACAAAGTACCGGGTTTAGTAATTGGATGTTACGGATTTGAGGCAATGCTGCAATCAAATTTATTATGCTTCTATAATCAAACATGTGTTGATGGTCTTCGTGTAGCTATCAATTTCTCAAATATTTTCACTACTTCAGCGCTTGATCCTTCAAAGTTGATTTATTTTAATGTGAATAGCACAGTCGGGAATATAATGGAAAAAATGATGATTGAACAGTGGACAAGTAGTATATTCTATGCCAACTACTATAATAAATGTCGTCCAATTTACTGTCAATATACAATCATTAAGAAAAACGATATAATATATATTGTTACGACATTAATTGCAATAATCGGTGGTCTTACGAGTGCACTTCAAATTTTCGTACCTTGCTTTGTAATTTTACTTCGAAAATTTATTCTGAAGTGGTGGCAACATAGACGTACTAGAGTTGGAATTGTCTCTTGAACTATTTTCATTAAAAAAAGCTTGGTAGCGCAATCTCTTATATCTGCATAGTCTCTCATATCAGTTTATTTTCGGTTGAACTTACAAAAACATTTAGAATTCATCAATATCGGTATGAAAAAGTTTGTTGTTGTTATGCTTCTCTTACTCTCGCTTTCTTTCTCGCTTGCTTTGAACATAAATAATAATTAAAATAAAAAATAAACATGGCTTTTATTGTATTTTGACTATAAAAATAATAACTTTACCTTCTTTTTTATTCCAAACCATATTAAAGCTTTCGCTACAAAGTTTGTAGATATTTTCAAAGTCGGTAGCGCATCATGAGAAAAAATTATATTAAAAATGCATTAATTTGAGACTTTTTTAATGAGTTCTTTTATACCAAACAGTCAAAGCCTAACCCAATCATATGTGTTCCGTTCGATAATTCACACTCTCTTCTTTCATGATTCATGACATTCTTTTTTATATTCAGTCTATTATAAGAATTAATAATGATGAGGAAAACAAATGTCTATATACTTTTCATTGATGCTGCTTGAAAGTATATTGACACTTTTCTTGTTTGGGAGTCTGACCTCTATTTCAAATTCATACAATTTTAGAGCTTGTGTTGATCTTCAAAATGTTCGTATACGACATTATTATTGGTTAATTACTCAAACCACACAATTTAATGATGCTTTGTACAGTACTAATTCAATAAAACATGTTTCTACTTGGAATAGAATGAGTCTACCTGCACATCTCAATTCTCAATGAAGAAGATTCACTAAATAAATAATCCTTAGCATGAAAAAAAATAAAAATAATGGAGAATAACTCAAATGTTTACAAAAATATGGATATCAGTCGCCGATAACGGCAAAAAACTGAAGTGACAATTTTTTCTGAGAATTTTTTTAGTGTTAGGATGACAAAAAAAAGTATGTGCAAATACTTCATAGTGAAACATTTTTTTTCTATCTTATATAATAATCAATAAGTTATCCTTGCGATTGTGTAAATTATTGGGAGAACATATCAGAGCTTTCGATGAGATGGTCTAAAACCAGCCTCACCCAGGGTGGTTTGTGGGTGTGGGTGGATGTGATTGTGGGTATGCCAGTGCTGAAGACAAAATGCTCATACTCGAACTGAAACCCACAGTCACACACACTCCACATCCTCCACCTGAAGTACATGGATTCGATGGAGTACAGGAGTACCTAATCTTCCCCTTGAGTTTCACACGCCCTTCCGAACAAAGAAAAACCTAGTAGCTACCATGAAGCTCGTTCGACAATCCTGGGATACGCGATCGAAAACTTATGAAACGAGAAAAAACAAAAACCATGTTCGGTTTTTTTTCCAAAAACAGGCTATTTTATGAATAAGAGATGACGCCAATCTTCAAAAATTTCTGTAAAAAGCGCGATGCCGAGGAAAAACTTTTTATGGTTTATTAGAGATCAGACCACAGGCTATCTTCTGCTGCATTTAGGTTAATTTAGATTATTCTGACAAAAAGTAACTTTTTTGAAGAGGGAGGCTTAAACAATTTTTTTTTGAGACAGTAATTGCAATCCATATGGAAAGAAGGTGTGGGTGTGATGTTGGTGTGAGTATTGATGATTAAAAGACCCACACTCAACAACGACATTTTAAATTGTCAAAATCGATGGTTTGCCGCAGCTCACCATCAAAAGTCACCGGTTAACCGTGACAGATCAGGCAAAAATAGCGGTTTACCGAGGTTAATTGCTGCAATGATAGTCAGTAATCGGACCGGTAAAACTACGATGAACCGCCAGTTACTATCACATGGAAAAGTTGTGCTAGGATAAAAATTCGATATCATATTTATTATATAAATAAACAGTGATCTTGTTCATTACAGAAATGAAAGGGGTTCTGGTTTAATAGTAAGTCTCATAGGGTTCATTTAACTCCAAAATTGTTTGTCTCTCTGATATTCACAATCGCGCAAATGAACTGTATGAGTGCTTCCATCTTCGAAAGTGAAAACAACTTGCTCGTCGACACTGATTCGGCGGCCGAAGTCAAACGCAAAGAATCCATTGTTTCCACGATGCTCGCCAGGACGGTTATCTATAGTAGCTTTAGTGACTAAGCGTCCATTGGTGTTCAGGAGTCCAACATTATGATAGTATCCCCCATCATCTCGGCCATCAGATTTGTAGTAGCAACGAGGTCCATTGAAGTTTAAAGCGTTGCGAGAACTCAACTATACATTGCAATACGTGATCCCAGGTGACATGTTATTAGTGAGTTTATTCCAAGTCGAAGCATATAAATCGAGGCCATTGCCGAGGTTTGAGTTCATAACAATCACGTCCAGTGGTCCATTTCCACAGTCAATTTGAAGCACTTGACCACATAATTCTGGTCGCCACTTCAAATGTTTCAAAGACTCAATATCTCCGAGTGCGATCGGGTAATCAATAGCATAGCTAGATTTTGGAAGTTCGCATGCACCTGCCTCGTAAGCACCATGGTACGTTGTATGAACTCCGAAAACTCGAACATTAGTAGGTGTTGGTCATGTAGCAGACACATAAGTGACAATGAAAAGTTCAAATAAAGTCAAAGACGAAATAATACTAATCAGTTTATCACTTCGACTATAGTTTGTCTTGTTAGCTTTGTAAAAATTCTAAAAAGAAAGAATGGCAAATGTTAATCATTCGAGATCCTTTGCAACGAATGGCCAGTGATATTAAATGGATCTGTTGGTCAAAAAAGATCATCGACTTCCATTCATTATGAAATAGATGCTATATTCTATACTAAGACAAACAATTTACATATTTAAAGTTCTCAATCATACATCTTGAAATGCACGCTTAAAAGTGTAAAAATGTATCTAATAATTTCAACAGTTCAATATCAAATGACTGAAACAACATTCTGTTTTTTGGTCTGTAATATACGAGTAAATACTTGAAATCGTTTCGAAGCAAATGTGAAACTAGCGAGCTTTGAATCATTCACCAATAATGATCCGAAAATCCAAGACACTACTCATAAGACTTTTGAGATTATTTCAAAGTTCGGCAATGATCTGGCACTTCAAGTCAGGAAAACCTTTGTTCAATAATGCTAATAATTACAAAACCACAATTTGACAACTTATTGTCTTTGTTTTGAAAAAGAACGTGTGCGAAAAAAGCGTATTTCACCATTCTCATCTGATGAGAAGTGGTTTCAAAGTATGTTACCTCATATGTATGTTCTTATTCGGTTTTCATATCTATTTGAACGATCTATTTTGTCTCATTCTCTCTTAGGTATTTTCCTTTTATGCCGTAGGATATTATCAAATTCATCATATTGTTCATAGAGCAATATGATGTGTCTGATTTCTTCTTATTACAAAAAATAGTGTGTATCGACTAGTGCACGGCATAATCGCTATTACTCATGGGAGTTACGAACAGTCACGCTTATGGAAATAATCAAAAATTTTATGTCTGTTTTAACTGAATTAGTTTTTCTAAATGACAAATAGTTTCACATATTTAACTCGTTGTTATAATTTATTCAATTTTTCTATATAAAAATGGCTATATGTAAATGTTATAGGGAAAATCATAGCTTAGTAAAAATTAAAAATTTCCCTAAGACAAATAAAAAACAGGAATGACGATTAAGCGAAATTTTTTTTCATCTTATTGAAATTTTAAAATTTTTTCGGAATTCTAATATTTTCTGTGTTCCATATCTTGTCCGAACGTTTGATTTACGTTGTTTTCGTTCTGTATCCTGGTGGACCTAGGAACAGGAACGATATTAAGAACAATAGGCTTGCAAAAAATTGTTCTGATTTATGTATCTGCTCTCCAAAAGTTGCTTCTTCGAAAGAAAAAATCTCTCATCTATTTGATACTGCATTGTTGCGGAATACATTTCATCATTCTTACCTACACTTTTCTGTCATTTAGTTATTAAAAAAGAAACAAATACTTGTCAACAAAAATCAAGCAAGCTCATTCATCATCCATTAAAATGTAATTCAACTGTCACATCTACTATTTCCTTTATGATTATCATATTCCAAACAATTATTGATTTGGGTTCTCTCACAATATACCATTACTATTATCTTCTCTTCAATATTGTCATTTTTTCATTGGTGTCTCTTTCTTATTACTCAATTGATAAAGAAAATAACTTTCTTTATTCAATTTTATCTAATAATAATACCTTTTCTTTAACAGAAAACATCAAATTGATATAAGAATTCTGAAAACATTATGGAACGCGGGTGGGGGAAAGTTGTTTCCATAGGATACTACCTAAAACACAAAATATAATAAAAGTCTATATTTTGTTAGAAAGACAGCTAAATGATAACTTTATTGTTAACTACTTCATTGAATACTATCAAATTAATGTAGGACATGCTTTTCTACTTGGTTAATGAATTCATCGTTTTTATCTAACTTTCGTCATAACAAATCTTGTTCAAAAAGAAAGATCGGAATTCACAACAAACCAAAAAGAATGACCCTGATCTAATTCACACAGTCATAACCAGAAACATGATCACGTCGGATATTCGTATCGACTATTATATATCTTCGTTATTTTCCAGTGATAACAATAATGTTATAGAATGAAATAACTTCATTAAGTATTCAGATGATAATGACAATGTTCAAAGAAAGACAACAATTCACTCTCGACTCTACCTGCTTTGTATGAAGTTGTGTGTTTTGCTTGAAGAAGACGATCAAAATTAAAATAGTCGAATACAACAGTATGTAAATTGATGAGTGTTAGGATCTACTATTTATATAGGAAAAGTTATATTGTTATCTTATTTTATCGTCGCAATAAATAATATAGGCATTAGTAGTGAGATTTTCCCTATGATGAACAACAAGGAAAGACAAGGTTAAATGAAAAGATTATGTGTTGCAGTTTATTAGAAGATGGTGAGACTTTTCCATTCTTATGACTCATTCATTCATTCCCTAACGAAACGCGGGTAA